TGACTAAAACATTCGCACGTAACCTAAGCGGCGGGCTTGACCCTCCATTCCATTTCGGTAAGCAGGTTTGGAATGAAAGGGCACGGAAGAGCCAGGAGATGTAGCCGCATTCTAGAACGTAGCGGCAAGCTCAACGCCCGTTTCGTCTCACGCACAGGGGACAATGGCGATGGCAAAAACGGAGACGAGGATGGACGCCAGCCCTCCAAACCGTCGCAGTCGTTTCAGCAGCAGCATCAACAACGGCGGCAGCAGCAGCCACGTCAGGAAGAGCCAGCCTCGTCCCTGAGGCCTCCATCGGCATCGGGGGGAACCAAGTCTGGGAATGCGAGCGGGCCGCTCAAATTGGAAGGCTTCATGGAAGGGTAAGAGCCGATTGAAATATGACTCATTCACATGAGGGACAAAGACGCACGCCTCCCCCTTTATCTCGCGGATGCGACGCCTCAATCTCCCTGTGTGCTCCCTCCCCCCCTCCTCGTCCCTGCAGGAGCCAGAAGCTGGTTCCACAAACGGGCGGCATGCCCTACATGTCGGGCAACAACTACGTGGACCTCCTCGTCACCCTCAGCCCCACGGAGATGATCAGCAACTTCAAGGCGGCCGCGCCCCCCCGAGTCCAGGAAGCGGTCCGCCGCACCGTCCTTCGCTGCATCGGCTCGATCCGGGACTCCCTTGTCGAGGACTCGCACCGGTGCACGGGGCTCATCTTCGCGCATCTCCTTTACAAGGCTCAGGTAACGGGCTACATGCTCTTCAATGCGGAGGTCAAGGTCCAGGGAATCGTGGGCACCGGGCTTGCGGCCTCGGCGCCGTCCCTGCCGCCGCAACAGTCCTACCGGCCCCCCGAGCAAGCGGTGCCAGTGGAGGGCGAGGACGAGGAAGGGGCCAAGCACCTCCTTGAGGACGGCAAGAGCGTGCGCCTGGGCGGGGCCTTGCTGGGTGGCGAGGGGGAGACGGATGCGTGGCTGGACGGCACCGTGACGGTGACCACGAGTGTGAGTGCTGGGGGGGGGGTCTGTGGGGCTTTATTTGTAGGACAAGCATTCTCCGGTCAGACACAGGAGATGCACTGTCTCTGTCCAGTCTAGGTGGATTCCCAAAGGCATGCAAGGCGCGTCTGACGCGTCTTGCGACCGGCAAGGTATGCTGACTCCCTCCCCCCTTCCCGGCTCCCTCCAGGACGGAACCCGCGTGCGCGTGGATGCCCAAGACTATGTGCAGGCCCTGCGCCAAGAGGCCGCCTCCTTGAAAGGTGAGCTCGTCCGCATGGAAGGCGAGCAGCGGCAGGTGCTGGCGCGGGACTTGCTTGCCTACATCTCGGACCTCTCCGCCCGTCAGTCGGGGGAGCTGACTGAGGGGATGACCCGGGACGTGGTGGAGGCGATGAAGGTGCTTACGAGTCGGGTCCTGGTCTCGATCCAGGAGCAGCCGATCGTGGAAACAGGTCATGATACGGGCGGGTGCAAAGAGAGAGGGGACAAGGGGGAAACCGGAGTTTGGCGGCGTTCTACGCGTGCGACGCGAAGCGTGTTGGAGGGTTCTTGGACCTCACTTCCTGCCCCCTTTCTTACTACAGAAAGCATGGAGGTGGACTCAACCGCCCTTGCGCAGCTCATCATGTGGGGTCTGGTGACCGGATACTCCCTTCGCGAGCTGGAACGGGCCTGGAACTACGGCCAACCAGCCACGCCATCCCTCATGCGCCCTCCGTCCCCATCATCACCCTCGACTCGGCCGCGTGGAAGGCGTCCTCCGCCTCCGCCCCCTCCGCCAAGAGGCAGCCGAGGGAGGGGAGGCGACCGTCCACCGCGGGGAGGACCGGCGGGGCCACCCGGAGGGGGTGGGGAAGGGGGAGGGGGATGGGGCGGGAGGAGTGGTGGCGATCCAGGGGGTCGGGGAGGAGGGAGGTCGGGTAGGGGTGGTGGAGGGAGGCGGTGGTGAAGGTGCAATCCTAAAGACAGGATTGCATGCATTGTGGGAAGCGAGGAGAGGAGACGCGATTTCTTCAGTGCCAAAGATTGACTGGTAAGGGAGGGAGGCGCGCTCCACACATAATGAGAGATGGGGCCGGAGGCGGGAAAGAGAACGTGAAACTGCACTCGGGGATGCTTACTGGGAGCGACCAGAAAATCTCTCCCAAATTGTACACATTTTGCTCTTACAGTCATGAAGTCAAATTCGATGTGCATGTAAAAAAAAGAAGACACTATTTGCGTTGAGCCTGCGGGCTCAAGGCCGGGAGGTTAAACTTCTACTGGGTGGCTGTTGAGGGCTGTGCACGGCTATACTCACATTATTCAACCTTCTAATTACATAGCGACGAGTACAGAAAATGTGGTTCTTAACTACACGCGTTTTATTCACGATGGTGGCCGTCTTGAGTGCGCTGGGGACGACCCAGGCTTTTCGTGCGTCGCTCGTTAATCGAATCCCGCCACCCCGCGTACGTCATGTCGCTCTGCAAATGTCAACAACCACAGCGTCCCCGGGCCAAGAGACGAATGCTGAGACAGTGCTGTGGCTACGAGGCCTAAGTAACACGTTTGATGGACAAAGGTTTGTTCTCAAGGAAGGGAAGGGGAATGTTTGTACTTGACTACAAGCGAATTCTACTCACACGACCGCATGTATTAGTCCATGTCGAAAAGCGGCACCCATGAAACATGTGCGGTCACGTCTGCATACTGTTGTACGCCCAAAGTTTTTTGGTACAAATTTTCTTTGAAGATTGGGCGGTGGATCGCTCCTCTGTATGTTGTACAGAAGTATCTTACGACGCAGGGCCTTCGAATGCGCTTCAACGCCTGCCCTCATACTCCCATGAAACGCACACCAGGTACCAGTTTAAAGACTTGTCTCTTTCTTTGGCGAAAGGCCAGAAGGTTGGTTTGGTCGGAGTCAATGGGTGCGGGAAATCCACTCTGCTTCGGTGCATAGGCGGAGTGGAGAAGGCCGAGTCTGGGGAGATTGAGACCCTCAAGGGCCTGACGGTTGTCTACGTCGACCAGGAGCCGACCTTCCCCCCCGGCCTAAAAGTCAAGGTGTGTAGTCTGGAAATATAGGGCTGACGGTCGCGACTCTTGACAGTTCGTACGGGGGTAAGATGGTGATTCTGCCAGACTCTTCGAGTTGTCCGAGGAGGTGCTGGTGTCAAGCCGCTCTACCTTTGTCCCGTCTCCACCATTACCCAGGACGTTATGTTCTCGCCGTCGGGGAGCCCTGCAATGGCGGCTGTCTGGGCCTATCAGAAGGCGAGCGAGGCCCTGGCGACGGGCACCGAGGAGGCTTACGACAAGTTCCAAGAGGCCTCTCAGCGCATGGACGTGACGGGGGGCTGGGAGGCGGAGACGATCGCCAACCAAATCTTCACGCAGCTCAATGTTGTCGATCTGCAGGACAAAGACGTGGACACGCTGTCGGGGGGCCAGCGGAAACGCCTGGGCTTGGCCACGGCCTTGGTTCGGAAGCCGGATGTGATCCTCCTCGACGAGCCCAGCAACCACCTCGACATCGACGCGATCGAATGGCTGGAGGCGCACTTGGCGAACCGAGCGGTCACTGCGATCGTGGTCACGCACGACCGGTACTTCCTGGAGACGGTCTGTCAGTCCGAGGTGTGGGAGCTGGAGGACGCGGCGCTCTACCGGCACACCGGCAACTACGAGTCGTTCTTGGAGGCGAAGGAGGTGCGCCTCTCCTCCCAGGCGTCCGCCCGCGCCAACGACTTGAAAAAACTCCAGAAAGAGCTGGCCTGGATGCGAAAGCAGCCCCGAGCGCGTCAGGCCAAGAGCAAGTCGAGGCAGGGGGCCTACCACGAGCTGGTCAAGAAGACTGCCAAGAAGGAGGAGGTCAAATCCCTCTCACTGGAGGCCGCTAAGTCCCGACTGGGCTCCTTCGTCCTGGCCTTCGACGACGCATCCTTCCGTTTCCAGAAGGCTGACAAGCAGATCCTGACGAGCTTCACGTATGAGTTCACCAAGGGGGACCGCGTGGGCATCGTGGGCCCCAACGGGGCGGGCAAGTCCACCTTCCTCTCCATCCTGCTGGGCGAGCTCCCCCTGGACAGCGGTGAGGTCGTGCAGGGGGAGACGGTCCGCTTCGGGTATTATGCGCAGGCGGGGATGGACTTCCCGGACGGGGTGCGGCTGATGGAGTACGTGAAGCAGACAGCCGAGGATGCTCTGGCGAAGGAAGGGAGCACGGTGCGCACGGACGAGCAGGGGAACATCAGTATCCAGGGACCCAAATTGTCGGGTGAGGCACTAGCCAGGCAGTTGCTTGTGCGGTTCCAGTTCCCCACCTCGCGTTGGCAGGACTTGGTTGGGAAGTTGAGCGGCGGGGAGCGGCGGCGCCTGCAGCTCATGTGGGTCTTGGCCCAGCGTCCGAATTTCCTGATCCTGGACGAGCCCTCCAACGACTTGGACCTGTCCACGCTGGCAGTGCTGGAGGAGTTCCTGCTCGAGGAGTACAAGGGGGTGCTGGTCTTCGTCAGCCACGACCGCCGCTTTGTGGACCGGCTGGCGGGGCACCTCTTTGCCTTCCAGGGGGACGGCATCGTGCGGGACTTCCAGGGCAGCTTCAGCGACTGGCTGGAAATGGAGAAAGAAGCCAAGGCGCATGGAGGCTCAGCATGGCAAGACTCCACCTTGGGGGGGACGCGGAAAGGACAAAGCGATGCGAAAACGGCGGCCTCCAGACGGCTGAGTGGGAAAGAGAAGAAGGAGTTGGGGGGCATGGAGCAAGCCATTGGCACCCTGCAAAAGCAGGCAGCGGAGTACCAGAGCAAGCTGGACGAGGGTCATAAGACCAATGCTGGCTTCAGTCAGCTCGCAGAGTGGGCGTCGCGATTGGAGAAGATCGAGGCGGAGATCGCAGCCAAGGAGGACCGCTGGCTAGAGCTCATGGAGCTAGCGGACGCATGAAGGAAGGGTCGAGGACGGGTCAGAGGTGCCTCCCGGGCACAAATGAATGTACAAATAAGCTAAATCGAAGACTTGTCATGTATCTTCAATTGCTTCTTTGCTTCCGTGATGTACTCCTCCCTCTTTCTGAAGAATTTCCCTCTTGGATTTTTTTGCGACGGCCTCCAGCCTTTGTTTGCTGCGGTGCGCCTTGATGCGTGCTTTCCCTGCGGCTTCCATAGGCAATGGCAAGTTCTTCCTCGCACCTTTATTGTAGGATTCTTTGATAACATTGATATTTAATCGGAAAATATGCATAATCTCCTCTAGCATGACTTCTCCGTCTTCGTTTTGACCGGAGCTTTCCGTCACAGAATGTACTGCTTTGACTCGTCTGTGAGTCAACCACTCATAGTCCTTGAAAAAATAATACAAAGCTTCCGCAGAAGATAGCAGACCTTCTCCCTTGGAGTGATATCGCCAGCATAACGATTCCTGGGGGGGATTCTTGAGCTTCACCCGCTTTGTCAATCGCCTCACCCCGGGGTGGTCTAGCACCGTGGTTGTGTTGTTCCACCGCGAATCGAGAACTACAACTCGCTTTATTACTGTTAATTCCTCAAATGACATAGCATTCAATGTTACTGCGTCTTGAGATGGGAAAAGCACCAGCGTCTCATCTACCTCCCAGGGCTCCGCAGCCAGCTCCTCGAGCCCTCCTGTCCACGTGTCCCAAACCCGAACCGATTCCGTCGCCACCACGCCGACTTGTATTGCGGTGGATTTTTTACGATTGTCTGCTATGATTATGTTCACCTCGAGGGGCAGACGCAAACGCGGTACCTGCACCCCGGCTGGAACCCCTACCCAGCAAACACACTTTGCACAGTAAAAGCGTTTTTCTGCTGTGCAGCCGTGCGATGGACATGCAGCCTTCACCCAATCATCGATAGCGTAAGGCAAAGGTGCAGCAAGATAGGCTTGCAACGATGCGCTGGTATCAATATGATCGGTTGCTGGAGTTGATATCGACGGCGTATAGGTCGTGGTTGCAGGCGGAGGGGGTGAGGAGGTTAACATTGAAGGGCGCTTGGAGCAGTGACCTGAGGGTGATTGTAGGTGGTTTATCCTCCCAATGTGTGCTCCGCCTTCTCTAATTCACAATAACAAAGTGTGTGTTCGCTGAGTTGTTAGCCTTTGGGGCAGGGATCACAGTTAATCTCCGCAAACCAGTCTCCTCAGCGATGCCTTGACGTCTCGTCTCTGTAGTCTTTAACCTCGCCACCTCACGGACACTTATCGCAACGTTCTTCAGGACAGGTGATTTTGATGGCGGTGGTCCCCCCAATAAATAGCGTGTATAGCCCTTCTTGTGACGCACGGCTCGCGGAAGGTAAGGTTTTCCGTCATTTTTTTTTAACTCTTCGCAGCTCAGTTCTTCATCTCCCGTCCGCTGCAAGCAGGGTGCATTCGCGGGCTTTACGTGGGGGCCCTGTGGGGGGCATTCTTTCACCGCTATGATACAGTTCCATTACCGACGAAGGCCTCACGAGGACAGATTATGCTGCGAATATTTCGAACTCGGGCAGGTGCGTGAGAGGGAGGCTGGAGTGACATAGGTCGGAGATGGAGCTTACGTGTCGTCAGTAAGATGGGTAGATTGACTGAGCTTATCCCCGTCATCACACAGTGGGCGCATGTAAGCATTCATTCCTCCTCGCAACTTTCCTGGGGTTGTACAGCGGATCCTCGTGCGTGGCTGAGAAAACCATGGGACGCCGCAACTGGGCGACGAGTTTCGTCGGGGGCTTAAGCGCGGGAGCCTTCGCAGGCCTCACGACAGGTCACCCCCATCATGCCATGACATGGGGCGTAGGAACTGGCCTAGCAAGCATGATTGTGTACGGGTTGCAAGGAGGTTGAAATGGGTATGCAAAGAAGAAATTCTGCGGAAGCGGGGGACATGGGCCAGTAATGCGCTTAGGAAAATCTTCAATTGAAAGTAAATGTGAAGTATCGAGTTGCAGGGCGGGATTTTTACTACATGTTACGTTGTTAACTATTTAATGTTAGTTTATGCTAAAGGACGGGCGTATGTTACAAAAAAGAAAGAAAAAAGATGGTGACTGTGGGGTTTCGGGGCAGTGTGCATCGGAGAGGAACACGTCCCGTCTCGAACACCGCACTTGAACCCACGCGGTTTCCCATTGGCGCCTAAAACCAACGCCTTAACCTCTCGGCCAAGTCACCACACAAAGGTTGCTGTCAGCTCGACTAGAGTCTCGCCACTGGAGCTCGAAAGGCGGATGTCAGCTTCTATTATCTTGACGAGCAACATGAATGTTAGACGACAGAGGTGAGAGGTGAAGTGGACGCATTATCACACCAGTGGCATTCGTAAATTCGTAGCGCACATTGCTGTTAAAATTAACACATTTGACCAGCATAGATTACGCAAGTAAATCGGTGTGCTTCTGCTGTTTTGACAACATGGTGCATGCCTAGTAAGGCGCCGACCTCCTCCCCTTTCTAATGGCGATAGTGTAAAGCTCCCTCGGGCTCAAGAGGCAATGCAATAGCACCGAGAACAGTGTGGAGCGCGTAAAATTGAGTCCCGATAATCGGAGCGGTGTTGGTAGCGCACACGTAGGTCACATGTATTGAGCTCATCATGTCCTAATTCGCTCTTGTCAAGGGAAAACAAGCTCTGGAAGGCGTAATCTTGCAATTTGTCTTAGCCAAAGCAACTCCAAGACTGCGCCCTAGCTCCATGATTGCCCGAAGGTTTTCCATACTCACTCGTTCTCTTGCGAGATCGTGCAAGAGCATGACAAGTATATCGGTGACACAAGTATCGCAGGCCGTAGCAGGGGCGGCTCGCCCCAGCAAGGCTCTATGGGGCGCTTATAGGAAGCCTCTGAGCGAGTCGCAGCAGCAGGTCTGCCCCCGCTCTCCTTTCTACTGTGCCCAGGCGACGCTTTTCTCCCATTTTGTGTCTTCTTCCTCCCGAACAAATGCTGAAGAGGTACAAAATCAAGGTGGTTTTCCCACGGAGCGCGATTTTCACGTGGTGGCGGATGAGACTCTGGACGAGGTTCAAGCTTCGGTGGATGCCTTGGAGGACGTCGTGGAAGATTATGAGGCGAATCTATCGGTAATTTGAGCAGGAAATTGATTTATATTGGGGTTTGTGAGTGTTCGTGAGGAGTATACACGCTCTTAACTGCTTCATTTAAGGGCACAAATTATGTAACATTTGTCAGTTATCCAGCCATTCTCAATTTGCGAAGCATCGACCGTTGAATAGCTGAAATACATGCAATTCCGGTGGGGCGTCAAGCCATGTCCACTCATCACGCTATCCTCACACGCCCGCCTTTCGTCCCTCCCTTCACAGCAAGGAGTCCTCAACATTGGAATGGGCCCGCACGGGACCTGGGTGCTCAACAAACAAACTCCCAACCGCCAGATCTGGTGGTCTTCGCCCTTGAGTGGTCCTTTACGCTTTGAGTACGACGTTGCGACAAAGATGTGGGTGACAACGCGGGACAGGCGGGAGCTTTTCGCGTTGCTGAGAGAAGAGGTCAAAAGGGTGGCGGGGATTGACATAAGGACTCGAACATAGCCATGACTTGACAGAAAAAGATAATGCGGGCGCTGAGATTTCCGGGAAAATAGATCTTTTTCCGTCATGTCAAATAGATTTCTATTAACGATTGTAAAAGGGCTATAAAACCGCTCATGTCTCAAAGCGTCTGTTTATCACCATTTTGGAGTTATCATTAATTTTATGCATATTGACCATGTCCTGCCTCATCTATGTATGTATGAAATCATACAGAGTGAGGATTATATGACCATCATCGATCTGAAAAAGAAGCTGGAAACCTGGACACCTTAAATCATATCACTGCAGTAACGCCTAGCATGACGAGACCCTTTCTGTCATATATTTTTCACATATTTTATGAAGGTGCCTCACGGGTTTTCTTACTGCATGCTACTGTCAAGCCTCGAACAGCTAGATACAGGCAAAGCTAAAGACATGAGAACATTTTCACACGGAAAAAGTGGTGATGGTAAATGCGGTGTGCATCTGGAAAGTGCAGGCAGTAGTGACGCATTTCGTCCCATCAAGAGGTACGATGTTCCGTTCTGGATCAACGGTGCGTAGATATCAATTTTTAAAAAATAGATACATCGGTGGAAAGGCGGGAGTACATCAAAAGGATGTGATTTACCGTGACTTCGAAACTTTAAGGCATTTTTCTTAATTGGCCCACTTGGGACAGGAGGTTGTTCGAAAAGCCCTTAAAGGCACTTACGATTTACCAGCGGCGATACACCACCTGGAGGTACACGCAGACTCCCAAAATTGAGGTCGATCACTCTTTCTGAGGCAATGGCTCATAGAGACAGAAGAAAAATGTGTCCACACGTAATGGCTGCATTAACTGTCGGGAGTGTCGAATGCTTCTCGTCGGCGAATCCCAGCGGTCGCCTCGCGCGGGGAGTTAACGTGAGCAGCACATGCCGCATTTTGGTGCTTACATATTGTCGGGCACCACTCCTCGTCTTTTAAATACACTGTCTTTCAACAGGGCAACTTAATCCACTTTTTAGCTCCCAGTCTGTGGGATAAAACTGGGCACAATGGCCTGTAAAGTCACCATTTCGCTTCTTGTGCTTCTCTCGGCAGGCCAGGCCTTCAATCTACGACCTCCCGGGGTCTCTCCCAATAAACCTGGAACTTGGGCTCCTGGCGTTTGCTTGAGGCCAACATGGAGCTCGCATATACCTCGCAGCGCCTCCTCAACTCCCCTCCTACCTTTTGACGGCTTCCAACCTCCTCTGAAAGACCCGGTGGCTGCATACGATAGCGCCGTAAAGCAGGGCGAGAAGAAAGCCAATGAACCAGCTCCTATCATTTTTTTATTGGGCATCCAGGCCGGTTTGCAAGTGGGAATCGGGGCTGCGATGGCTGTGGCCACTATGGCGGGCGTTCCTGGTATTCAGGCAAAGGATCCTGGCCTTGCCAAGCTAATTTACGGCTTTTGTGGCCTCCCTTGCGGGCTACTGATGACAGCAACTATGGTGCGTTTCCACTGGAGTACTTACTATGTTAGAATGATCAGCACAGCATGCATGGTTGTCGGGGACAGAGGCTATAATACACCGCACCGGGTCTTTGACGGGCCTTCCCATGCATTTTCACAGGGGACCATGCTCTTCACGGGGAATACTGCCGTCGTATCTGTGGCGCTGATGGAGAAAAAGGTGTGTATTCAGTGGTGTGTTGTGGAGAATAACGTGTTTCTTGCGAATGTGGGTACGAAAAAACCGCCCGCTATTTAACTGGATGCAAATGGTCAGTTCAAATACATTTTTGCCGGTTTTGATCACCTTGCGAGTGGCCCCTGACTGAGAGACTGCAAAAGGACTGGCAGTAACAAACGTTTTGCGTGCACCTCGATTGCTTTGTTTTCCCCACAGATCAAGTTACAGCAGCTAGTCAAGACGTGGGTATGGTCCTATTTAGGTAACATGGTGGGCGCGGGCTTCCTCGCTGCTTTGTGCACATACGCCGGTGTATTTTCAAGCAGTGCAGCAGCCATTGCCTCCGTAGCCGCATCGAAGACAGCCATGCCGTTTGGAGTGGTGAGCATGAAGATCTCACTCTAAGATTTCCCTTGTCTTCGGACTGCTTCGCTGCTATGACCCGTGCATTTGGATCATCTCCGTTTCCCATCACCTCCTCTGCAATCCTTTCATCTTGCCCCTATTCCTCACCTTTCTAGGCCGTGGCGCGAGGCATCTTGTGTAATTGGCTTGTTACGACCGCCGTTTGGATCGCCCAGGCTGCCGCCGACCTCGTGAGCAAAGCCACGGCCATCGTCCTGATAATCACCATCTTTGCCTCTCTGGGATTTGAACACTCCGTGGCCAACATGTTTGTCGGTAAGAGAAAATAAGGAACGAGATGGGCCACAGGAAGCTTTCGAGGGAATTGAATACATGGCTTCCACCCTGAGCATCGTCTTCGTCTCTTCCTATCGCAGGACCCTTCGGAGCACTGAATGGCGGACCATCCTTTCTTCACT